GTCAAGGAAACCAAGAAGTACATCATGGAAACCAAGAAGTACGTCAAGGAAACCAAGAAGTACATCAAGGAAACCAAGAAGTACATCATGGAAACCAAGAAGTACATCAAGGAAACCAAGAAGTACGTCAAGGAAACCAAGAAGTACGTCAAGGAAACCAAGAAGTACGTTGTGAAAACCAAGAAGTACGTCAAGGAAACCAAGAAGTACGTTGTGGAAACCAAGAAGTACATCAAGGAAACCAAGAAGTACGTCAAGGAAACCAAGAAGTACATCAAGGAAACCAAGAAGTACATCAAGGAAACCAAGAAGTACATCAAGGAAACCAAGAAGTACATCAAGGAAACCAAGAAGTACATCAAGGAAACCAAGAAGTACATCAAGGAAACCAAGAAGTACGTCAAGGAAACCAAGAAGTACATCAAGGAAACCAAGAAGTACGTCAAGGAAACCAAGAAGTACGTTGTGGAAACCAAGAAGTACATCAAGGAAACCAAGAAGTACATCATGGAAACCAAGAAGTACGTCAAGGAAACCAAGAAGTGCATCAAGGAAACCAAGAAGTACATCAAGGAAACCAAGAAGTACATCAAGGAAACCAAGAAGTACATCAAGGAAACCAAGAAGTACGTCAAGGAAACCAAGAAGTACGTTGTGGAAACCAAGAAGTACATCAAGGAAACCAAGAAGTACGTCAAGGAAACCAAGAAGTACATCATGGAAACCAAGAAGTACGTCAAGGAAACCAAGAAGTACATCAAGGAAACCAAGAAGTACATCATGGAAACCAAGAAGTACATCAAGGAAACCAAGAAGTACGTCAAGGAAACCAAGAAGTACGTCAAGGAAACCAAGAAGTACGTTGTGAAAACCAAGAAGTACGTCAAGGAAACCAAGAAGTACGTTGTGGAAACCAAGAAGTACATCAAGGAAACCAAGAAGTACGTCAAGGAAACCAAGAAGTACATCAAGGAAACCAAGAAGTACATCAAGGAAACCAAGAAGTACATCAAGGAAACCAAGAAGTACATCAAGGAAACCAAGAAGTACATCAAGGAAACCAAGAAGTACATCAAGGAAACCAAGAAGTACGTCAAGGAAACCAAGAAGTACATCAAGGAAACCAAGAAGTACGTCAAGGAAACCAAGAAGTACGTTGTGGAAACCAAGAAGTACATCAAGGAAACCAAGAAGTACATCATGGAAACCAAGAAGTACGTCAAGGAAACCAAGAAGTGCATCAAGGAAACCAAGAAGTACATCAAGGAAACCAAGAAGTACATCAAGGAAACCAAGAAGTACATCAAGGAAACCAAGAAGTACATCGAGGAAACCAAGAAGTACATCAAGGAAACCAAGAAGTACATCAAGGAAACCAAGAAGTACATCAAGGAAACCAAGAAGTACATCAAGGAAACCAAGAAGTACATCAAGGAAACCAAGAAGTACATCAAGGAAACCAAGAAGTACGTCAAGGAAAGTACATCAAGGAAGAAGTACATCAAGGAAACCAAGAAGTACATCAAGGAAACCAAGAAGTACATCAAGGAAACCAAGAAGTACATCAAGGAAGTACATCAAGGAAACCAAGAAGTACATCAAGGAAACCAAGAAGTACATCAAGGAAACCAAGAAGTACGTCAAGGAAACCAAGAAGTACGTTGTGGAAACCAAGAAGTACATCAAGGAAACCAAGAAGTACATCAAGGAAACCAAGAAGTACGTCAAGGAAACCAAGAAGTACGTCATGGAAACCAAGAAGTACGTCAAGGAAACCAAGAAGTACGTCAAGGAAACCAAGAAGTACGTCAAGGAAACCAAGAAGTACATCAAGGAAACCAAGAAGTACATCAAGGAAACCAAGAAGTACATCAAGGAAACCAAGAAGTACGTCAAGGAAACCAAGAAGTACGTCAAGGAAACCAAGAAGTACGTTGTGGAAACCAAGAAGTACGTTGTGGAAACCAAGAAGTACGTCAAGGAAACCAAGAAGTACGTTGTGGAAACCAAGAAGTACATCAAGGAAACCAAGAAGTACGTCAAGGAAACCAAGAAGTACATCATGGAAACCAAGAAGTACGTCAAGGAAACCAAGAAGTACATCAAGGAAACCAAGAAGTACATCATGGAAACCAAGAAGTACGTCAAGGAAACCAAGAAGTACGTCAAGGAAACCAAGAAGTACGTCAAGGAAACCAAGAAGTACGTCGTGAAAACCAAGAAGTACGTCAAGGAAACCAAGAAGTACGTTGTGGAAACCAAGAAGTACATCAAGGAAACCAAGAAGTACGTCAAGGAAACCAAGAAGTACATCAAGGAAACCAAGAAGTACATCAAGGAAACCAAGAAGTACATCAAGGAAACCAAGAAGTACATCAAGGAAACCAAGAAGTACATCAAGGAAACCAAGAAGTACATCAAGGAAACCAAGAAGTACGTCAAGGAAACCAAGAAGTACATCAAGGAAACCAAGAAGTACGTCAAGGAAACCAAGAAGTACGTTGTGGAAACCAAGAAGTACATCAAGGAAACCAAGAAGTACATCATGGAAACCAAGAAGTACGTCAAGGAAACCAAGAAGTGCATCAAGGAAACCAAGAAGTACATCAAGGAAACCAAGAAGTACATCAAGGAAACCAAGAAGTACATCAAGGAAACCAAGAAGTACATCGAGGAAACCAAGAAGTACATCAAGGAAACCAAGAAGTACATCAAGGAAACCAAGAAGTACATCAAGGAAACCAAGAAGTACATCAAGGAAACCAAGAAGTACATCAAGGAAACCAAGAAGTACATCAAGGAAACCAAGAAGTACGTCAAGGAAACCAAGAAGTACATCAAGGAAACCAAGAAGTACATCAAGGAAACCAAGAAGTACGTCGTGGAAACCAAGAAGTACGTCAAGGAAACCAAGAAGTACATCATGGAAACCAAGAAGTACATCAAGGAAACCAAGAAGTACATCAAGGAAACCAAGAAGTACATCAAGGAAACCAAGAAGTACATCAAGGAAACCAAGAAGTACATCAAGGAAACCAAGAAGTACGTCAAGGAAACCAAGAAGTACGTTGTGGAAACCAAGAAGTACATCAAGGAAACCAAGAAGTACATCAAGGAAACCAAGAAGTACGTCAAGGAAACCAAGAAGTACGTCGTGGAAACCAAGAAGTACGTCAAGGAAACCAAGAAGTACGTCAAGGAAACCAAGAAGTACGTCAAGGAAACCAAGAAGTACATCATGGAAGCCAAAAAATACGTCATGGAAGCCAAAAAGTACGTCATGGAAACAAAGAAGTAGGTTATGGAAAAAAAGAAGTGCGTCATGGAAACCAAGAAGTACCTCATCAAAACCAAGAAGTACTTCATGAAAACCAAGAAGTACATCACGAAAAACTAAGAAGTACGTAAATAGGTCATCACTTAACTGGTATAACCTTGCACTGTGATTCTTATGTCTCCCTAAAGTGTAATGAAAAACTATCTTTTCAAAAGACTGAAAGGTGCTAACAGCAAATAAATAATAATGAAAACCACAAACAGTCAGCTGTGCAAGAATATAAGTGACAAAATGAACATATAATTTGTGTGTGTTTTTTTTTTTTGGAGTTTCTTTTGCCGTATGGTCTTAATGTCCAACACATATTCGTGTTATCACAAACTAGATCCACACCTTCCTCTCACCCTACTCATCTATCGTTGCCACTCCCCCCACCTAAAGTAGCATAGACCCTCAACCAACTCACTCGAAGTTGTATCTTTTTCTATTCCATGCAGCTCAACCCACGACCTCCCCATCTTTTCAACTTCACTCTCTAGTTTCTGACTCCATGTGTTCTTTGAGCTCCCTTCTATGACTTTATGGGATCCAGTGTAATGACATTCTAGTTATATTAGTCTCAGATTCTTCTCAAAGTGTGTCCTATCCAGTGCCAGCATCTTTTCTTCACCTCCCGATTCACTGAAAAATTTGTTTAGTTTTCTATCAAAGCTTAGTAAGTAATTTTATACCATTTAATCCACTCTATTCCGTTTAGGCACCAGTTAATAAATCTTTTATTAGAAACTGTTTCAGCTGTTCTCCATGTTTCAGCTGTTCTGCATGTTTCAGCTGCTCTGCATGTTTCAGCTGCTCTGCATGTTTCAGCTGTTCTGCATGTTTCAGCTATTCTCCATGCTTCAGCTATTCTCCATGTTTCAGCTGGTCTCCGTGCTTCAGCTGTTCTCCATGTTTCAGCTGTTCTCCATGTTTCAGCTGTTGTCCATGTTTAAGCTGTTCTCCATGTTTCAGCTGCTCTCCATTTTTCAGCTGTTCTCCATGTTTCAGCTCCAAATAGCAGTAGTGACTTCACAGAGCTAAAAACTAAAGTTTAAAACTAGTTTTCATTTCCTATGACTTCCACAGGATGCAGAAGTACTGAACCACATGCGCTGGTGGACCAGGATCCAAGCTGACAAAAAAAAAAACATCTCATTGTTTGAGTTGGAGTTTCTTTTGCCATATGGTCTCAATGTCCATAAATGAATAACCTATCTGAACTTCTCAGCGGTTATCTATCTTAGAAACAGGTGTTTGGCCAATGTAGATAGGATCACTGTTTACTTTAAATTCAGAGTGTGTCTGCTTTAAGAGGCAAGGAACCAACGGACTGCACACAAAACTCAAGTCCAGAAGTGGATCACCAACCAGGACTTTTCGGCCAAGTTTATAGCCAGTGAACATGTAGAAGCAGTAGAAGGAGAAGGAGAAGAAAAAGGAGGAGGAGGAGAAGAAGAAGAAGCAGCAGAAGAAGGAGGAGAAGAAGAAGATGAAGGAGGAGGAGAAGAAGAAAAAGAAGAAGAAGGAGGAGGTTAAGAAGAAGACAAAAAAGCAGCAGAAGAAGAAGGAGAAGAAGAAGAGGAAGAAGCAGCAGCAGAAGCAGAAGAAGGAGGAGGATAAGAAGAAGATAACAGATTTCCTAGTTTTTACATTTACCTACACAAACACATAAACTTCAACCAACCTCTATACTTTTGACATAGTTTTTCTGAGACATGAGTAACTCTGCTAAATTATGTACATCTGAAAACAATCAAAATGATACAAAATTAATCATTTCCTTTTGCTCAAAATAAGATTCCTCCCCCCCCCCTTTTCCAAAAACATACATACAAACATACATATATATAGTCAGTCAAATGAACGGCTGGAACGTGTGTAGCGTAGCAGATGCTCGCATACTGACTACAAGGTCTATGGTTCAAATCTGCAGTGAGGCAGATTTCTTCGAAACTGACCTCAGCTCCTAGGTAGACTCGGCCTAAAACGGGCACTAGGTGATGACCTGGAAAGTAAAAGCGGCCGGTATGATGTTGACCACACCCTCTACGAGTGCCGACTGCTTTAAAAAAATCGGATGTGCCTTCTGGGGTAAAACAGGCCCTTTCCTCTGTTAAATAATAAGCCTAAGCTAGAGTTATTCAGCTGGCAGCCTGCTTACCAAATCTAGCCCGTGGATGTCTAGCAAGTTGCCCGTGGAGGCCTAGTAAGTCACACGCGGAGCACTGTCAGCTGTACTGAATGGACACTCATGCTGACCCAGCCTAACATGGGTACCAGGCAATATCCTGGGAAGTGTGGGAAGTAAAGACGGCTGAAGTAATATTAACCACAACATCTGCAGAATTTCCCCACAATGAAAAACAGAATCCAGGGTCGTTGCTTTTACCAAAGTGAAGTCAGACCCTCAACAAATGAGGAATTATTCAAGCAAAAAAATAATAGACTTAAATGAGCCAAACCCTGGATGTGTCGGGCTGAGGACGCCATCAAACATGTTTGCCGCCTTACTGACATTAATTCTGGAACTGAATGGATACCCATGCCTCCTGCTTCAAAAGTTAACATTTAAGTCCACATCACACTTCATGAAAGCTGTAGACAGCAGATTCCTGGCATTGTGGACACTGATTGACAAAAACATAGATGAAGATGATACTATAGTTTACACAAATGTATCAGTAATTCGGAGCAAGCGATGTGCCTGGGCCTTCACAGTAAGCTGAAAGGGGGGGAGACCATCAAGAAGATGAATGGTGCCTTTGCTGTTACAACTAGTAGCCTTAAAATGGAAACTATGGCTGTAAAAAGGGCATGTGTGTTTACTTAGTGACTCAATAAATATGCTTAACAAATCCGAGCTGGTTTTATCGGCAAGAATGGATTGCAACACTAATCACTTTGCAAATGGCTGCCCTAACCTTCATCTTTGTGCCAGGTGATGCGGGTGTTCAAGGAACAAGGGTGAAAATTATCTCGCTGACACTGTGGTTGCTATGGCTGGTCCAGTACTGAACAGAAGTAATGTTATTAATGCCATACGCAGCACTTGATTCCATACGCAGCACAACGAGCACGCCAAAGGGTATGACTCTGTATCCCTGTCTAGGCTGATAGACTTGGGGGTGCAACCTGGAGCTGCAAGAAATGGACATTTCACTAAGAGGACAAGACGTTTAATTAACCAACACAAAACAGGCGTCATCTGCCGTTTTACACTTGTGGAGTGTTTAGGAGCAGTTCCGAGCACCTATGGATCTGTCCAGAGTGCAGTGATGATAATCCTTACTAATCAGTAATCACTAATCTGCAGAATGTCGAATGGTCTATAAAAATATTAGTCTAACATCATATGCCACATGAAATTTAAATGTTTATAAAAAAATTTTCAAACCACTGCTCACCTTCAGAATCAATGCTGTTTGGTAGCTCGTTGTGTATGTATTGAAGAACTGATATGGCTCCATTCTCATCTTGACACTCCATGTAATCCTACCATGAAAAGATATTGAACCACACAAGAAGTAGAACTAATCAGTTCCATATTATCAAAAACATGAACAACAAATAAATGTTGCAACTAAAAAGCCTTCATCAGAATATAACAAACGAACAAGCATATAATCACAAACAAGAATACACAAAAATAGCTTTGAGTTGAGGTCTCTTCTATAAATAATCACACAATTCCAGACAGTAGAAACTCCAATACATGTGTGATACAGCAAGTTTGAATGTGACAAGAAAAGCAGTGACAGGTTACAGCAAGGGCTGTAACTAGAAAGTTTTAGAAAAAGCTGTGTTAGACTTTAAGGTCCTTGGGCACAAGTGAGCTCATTAGACAGATAATGTGACGCTTGAGGGACTTGTGAACTCTTTTACCAGAGTAGCTAGATTTGATGGCTGTAATTTCCATGTCAAAGACATCTTGGTAAAAATTTTGGGGAGATACTTTGCGATCTACAAGCAGCTTTGTGGCTTAGAGGTTACAGTAGACTTTTCACAATGTGGCTTAGAGGTTACTGAAGACTTTTCACAATGTGGCTTAGTGGTTACTGAAGACTTTTCACAATGTGGCTTAGAGGTTACTGAAAACTTTTCACAATGTGGCTGAGAGGTTACTGAAGACTTTTCTCAATGTGGCTTAGAGATTACTGAAGACTTTTCACAATGTGGCTTAGAGGTTACTGAAGACTTTTCACAATGTGGCTTAGAGGTTACTGAAGACTTTTCACAATGTGGCTTAGTGGTTACTGAAGACTTTTCACAGTGTGGCTTAGAGGTTACTGAAAACTTTTCACAATGTGGCTGAGAGGTTACTGAAGACTTTTCTCAATGTGGCTTAGAGATTACTGAAGACTTTTCACAATGTGGCTTAGAGGTTACTGAAGACTTGTCACAATGTGGCTTAGAGGTTACTGAAGACTTGTCACAATGTGGCTTAGAGATAACTGAAGACTTTTCACAATGTGGCTGAGAGGTTACTGAAGACTTTTCACATTGTGGCTGAGAGGTTACTGAAGACTTTTCACATTGTGGCTGAGAGATAACTGAAGACTTTTCACGTTGTGGCTGAGAGGTTAATGAAGACTTTTCACAGTGTGGTTCAGAGGTTACTGAAGACTTTTCACAATGTGGCTTAGAGGTTACTGAAGACTTTTCACAATGTGGCTTAGAGGTTACTGAAGACTTTTCACAATGTGGCTTAGAGGTTACTGAAGACTTTTCTCAATGTGGCTTAGAGGTTACTGAAGACTTGTCACAATGTGGCTTAGAGGTTACTGAAGACTTGTCACAATGCGGCTTAGAGATAACTGAAGACTTTTCACAATGTGGCTTAGAGGTTACTGAAGACATGTTATGGTGTGGCTTAGAGGTTACTGAAGACTTTTCACAATGTGGCTTAGAGGTTACTGAAGACTTGTCACAATGTGGCTTAGAGGTTAATGAAGACTTTTCACAATGTGGCTTAGAGGTACCTGAAAACATGTTATGGTGTGGCTTAGAGGTACCTGAAAACATGTTATGGTGTGGCTTAGAGGTACCTGAAAACATGTTATGGTGTGGCTTAGAGGTACCTGAAAACATGTCATGGTGTGGCTTAGAGGTTACTGAAGACATGTCATGATGTGGGTTAGAGGTTACTAAAGACTTTTTACAATGTGGCTTAGAGGTTTCTGAAGACATGTTATGTTGTGGCTTAGAGGTTACTGAAGACTTTTCACAGCGTGGCTTAGAAGTTACTGAAGACTTTTCACAGCGTGGCTTAGATGTTACTGAAGACTTTTTACAATGTGGCTTAGAGGTTACTGAAGACATGTCATGGTGTGGCTTAGAGGTTACTGAAGATATGTCATGGTGTGGCTTAGAGGTTAATGAAGACTTGTCCATGATGTGGCTTAGAGGTTACTGAAGATATGTCATGGTGTGGCTTAGAGGTTAATGAAGACTTGTCCATGGTGTGGCTTAGAGGTTACTGAAGATATGTCATGGTGTGGCTTAGAGGTTAATGAAGACTTGTCCATGATGTGGCTTAGAGGATACTAAAGACTTCTCAAAATGTGGCAAACAGACTACTGAAGACTTGTCACAATGTAGCATACAGGTTACTTAAGACTTGTCACTATATGGTGTACAGATTACTGAAGACTTGTCACAACATGGTGTACATGTTACTGAAGACTTTTCACTTTATGGCGTACAGGTTACTGAAGACTTGGCACAATGTGGCACATACAGGTTACTGAAGACTTGTCTCAATAAGGCTTAGAGGATACTGAAGAATTTTCACAATCTTTGATGAACCAGTTATATTTCTGTGGTGAGCAGTTTTGACAAAGAGAAGCCTTGTGGCTTTTGAACAATGGAAGAGACTGCAGCCTCAGCACCTAATAATCCCAAAGACATTTGTGGTTACACACATTCAATGCAGCCAACCTTCATTGTGGATATGGCACAAATTTTATTACTACCTACAAGTGTTAACGTTCATTAAAATAAAGTTGATATCTAAAACATTCACAATTGACGTAAACAGGATACACAGTAGATATTTACAACATACATACAGTTAATATCTAGAAGAAACACGACCAACATCTACAACATACACCGCTGGTATCTAGAAGAAACAACTGATATCTACAACATACATGGCTGATATTTAGAAGAAAAACAACTGATATCTACAACATACATGGCTGATATCTAGAAGAAAGACAACTGATATCTACAACATACACGGCTGATATCTAGAAGAAAGACAACTGATATCTACAACATACACGGCTGATATCTAGAAGAAAGACAACTGATATCTAAAACATACACGGCTGATATCTAGAAGAAAGACAACAGATATCTACAACATACATGGCTGATATTTAGAAGAAAAACAACTGATATCTACAACATACACGGCTGATATTTAGAAGAAAGACAACTGATATCTACAACATACACGGCTGATATTTAGAAGAAAGACAACTGATATCTACAACATACATGGCTGATATTTAGAAGAAAGACAACTGATATCTACAACATACACGGCTGATATCTAGAAGAAAGACAACTGATATCTACAACATACATGGCTGATATTTAGAAGAAAGACAACTGATATCTACAACATACACGGCTGATATCTAGAAGAAAGACAACTGATATCTACAACATACACGGCTGAAATCTAGAAGAAGACAACTTATATCTACAACATACATGGCTGATATTTAGAAGAAAGACAACTGATATCTATAACATACATGGCTGATATTTAAAAGAAAGACAACTGATATCTACAACATACATAGCTGATATTTAGAAGAAAGAAAACTGATATCTACAACATACAGAGCTGATATCTAGAAGAAAGACAACTGATATCTACAACATACATGGCTGATATTTAGAAGAAAGACAACTGATATCTACAACATACACAGCTGATATCTAGAAGAAAGACAACTGATATCTACAACATACATGGCTGATATTTAGAAGAAAAACAACTGATATCTACAACATACATGGCTGATATCTAGAAGAAAGACAACTGATATCTACAACATACACGGCTGATATTTAGAAGAAAGACAACTGATATCTACAACATACACGGCTGATATCTAGAAGAAAGACAACTGATATCTACAACATACACGGCTGATATCTAGAAGAAAGACAACAGATATCTACAACATACATGGCTGATATTTAGAAGAAAGACAACAGATATCTACAACATACATGGTTGATATTTAGAAGAAAGACAACTGATATCTACAACATACATGGCTGATATTTAGAAGAAAAACAACTGATATCTACAACATACATGGCTGATATTTAAAAGAAAGACAACTGATATCTACAACATACATGGCTGATATTTAGAAGAAAGACAACAGATATCTACAACATACATGGCTGATATTTAGAAGAAAGACAACAGATATCTACAACATACATGGCTGATATCTAGAAGAAAGACAACTGATATCTACAACATACATAGCTGATATTTAGAAGAAAAACAACTGATATCTGCAACATACATAGCTGATATCTAAAAGAAAGACAGCTGATATCTACAACATACATAGCTGATATCTAAAAGAAAGACAACTGATATCTGCAACATACATAGCTGATATCTAAAAGAAAGACAACTGATATCTGCAACATACATAGCTGATATCTAGAAGAAACACAACCAATATCTACAACATGCATACCAAAGCTGATGTCTACAGTATATACAGCTGACATAAAAAACAAATATGATGTCTACAGCATACACAGCTGATAAATACAACAAATCTGATGTCTACAATATACAGCTTATTTCTACAACAAAGTTGATTTCTACCTTACAGCCGATATCTACAACATGCATATGTAAATTAAAAATTAGACAACTGAGAAAAACTAGTAAAATTAAAATACACCTGAGACACTTTTACTAAAGACTAGACATCTGTGAGACACTTACTAAACACTAGTATTTTGTGAGACACTTAGCAAAATATAGATATTTGAGAGACATATTTACTAGACACAAAACTAGACATTCTTCTGTGAGAAAAACTAAAATCTAGACATTTGTAAGACAAACCAAAATCTAATCTGTGAGATCTTCTTCTTCGCGGTCACCAGCTGTAAACTCTGGCGGAAAGTTCTGGTTGTTCATCCACCTCTGGACTGCAAAACCTTAGTGTTGTGTGTGCATCTGTTTTACAGATCTGACTCATTCGTGTGCAGACTGCTGGTTCCTTGCCTCTCAGGCAGATGCACTCCGACTTTGAAGGAAGCTCCCAAATAGTCGACTCTTACGACATGCTTTTGGGTAGGCAGTGGGTCTATTATTGTTTTCCCTATAATAGGGTCCCGGAACCCACACTGGGAAAATCTGAGAGATGAACTACAGGCTAGGTATCTGTGAGACAAATCAAAAGCTAGACATCAGTGAGACAAACCAAAAGTCTGACATCTATGAGACAAACTAAAAGCTAGACATCAGTGAGACAAATCAAAAGCTAGACATCAGTGAGACAAATTAAAATCTAGACATCAGTGAGACAAATTAAAATCTAGACATCAGTGAGACAAATCAAAAGCTAGACATCAGTGAGACAAATTAAAATCTAGACATCAGTGAGACAAATTAAAATCTAGACATCAGTGAGACAAATCAAAAGCTAGACATCAGTGAGACAAATTAAAATCTAGACATCAGTGAGACAAATCAAAAGCTAGACATCAGTGAGACAAATCAAAAGCTAGACATCAGTGAGACAAATTAAAAGCTAGATTCATGTGAGACAAATTAAAAGCCAGGCATCTGGGAAACATGAATTAAAAACTCAACATCTGTGAGGCAAACTAAAAGCAGACATCTGTGAGAGAAACTAAGAGCTAGAAATGTAAGAAAACCCAAAAGCAAGACACCAGTGGGATAAACTAAAAACAAGACATCTAGACCATTTTGTTGTTGCTGCGGCATCACTACAGTCTACTCACATTATAAATATTCCTGGCAAAAGACAGAATGCTTGCCGGACTGCTCTTGTCCATATACGGCAACATCTGTTCCTTACACTGTAAGGCTTTTGCAGGCAACTGCAACTGCTCAAAATATTCACACTTCTTGGAGAGTACTTCCACTTTGCCCTGGCTGGTTTGAGCCGTCCTCAAAGCTAGATGAACAAAGATGTGAATAAATTAACCAGCATAGAGAGAACTTAATAAAACATAAAGATGCACACGTTTAAAGATATACTTAACCCTGTCAACTCGACAGAGCTTAAAAAACGAACTTGTGAACCCCGCCACACACACACACACCGTTAACAACAAATTTTGCACAGGTCATTAATACATTTTTTCAAAATACATGAATATTTAAAAGGGGATTAATCAATAAACACGAATAAAGTAAAGCATTAAATGGAATACATTCCCCAGGGCCTAAACTCTTTGAGTCCCAGGGGGTTTAGCATCAGAGGCCCAAAGCTGTAAATCAAATTGGCATGGGTGCAGAATACTGCTCGGCGGCCACATTGTTTCCAAACACTTAGTAACTTGGTAAACCTTGCAAAAATACTTTATTTCATACTTTTAACCAGGTTTCCAAATGAGTCTGATGGTCATCACCCTGCCTGACATGAAGCACAAAGAAGTGGAAAGGAAGCTGAAACTAAGCGGTCCACCCTGTATTAATGGTCAGTGGTAAATTCAAAACAAAAATTCAAAAGAAAATGTATGCATACTTCTTCCTCTTCACGTTTACTGGCTGTAAGCTCCAGAGGAAAGTTCTGGTTGTTTATTTACTTCTGGATATTAGTTTTGTCCCAGAACCGGAGTTTATTATGCATAAGTTAGATTACAGATCTAACTTATATGTATGCAGACTGCTGGCTCCTTGCCTCGCAGGCAGTGCACTCCAACGTTGAAGAAAACCCCAATTTAGTCAACTCTTACAACATGCTTGCTAGTGAGGCAGTGGGTCTATCCCCTCTCCCCCCCACACTGGGGCCCCAGAACCCACAAGGAGATGACAACATATAAAATGTGGGCTCTCCTTGCAAATCCGGACGAGGGTTGGACGCGGGCTGGACGACTTAGTGGGAGTTCTCTCCCTTGGCCGCACTCGAAACAAGTAGCGGAAAAAGTCCACGAAACAAATGACATACTTACCTATCATCATACGGTTGCGTGTAGGGTTGCGTAGTCATCATTACGGTTGCGTTTAGGGTTGCGTAGTCATTATACGGTTGCGTGTAGGGTTGCGTAGTCGTCATAAGGTTGCCTGAAGGGTTGCGTTAGGGTTAGGGATGTTGGTTAGGGGTAACGTTAGGGTTAGGGTTATGGGTTATGGTTAGGGGTTAGAGGTAGGGTTAGGGGTTAGGGTTAGGGGTAGGGTTATGGGGTAGGGTTAGGGTTAGGGGTAGGGTTAGGGTTAGATGTGAAAATTTTCACGTAGGAGGTCGAAATAGTGGCCGACAATCTGATGCTTGTGGGAGTGGCGCCACTGAAAGTCTGCCAAATATGACGCCAATAGCGGGCGGCTGGTGCCAAATCGGTGGCGAATTACTCGTGTCAGTAGCATCCACCGCCCGTCGACTGTTTGAGTGTGTATGTGACTGTGCGCGATTATAGGGAACTAGGGCGTCAAAAGTATCACATCTAACGCTAAACCTAACCCTACCCCTAACCCTACCCCTACCCCTTACGGCAACCCTAACGCTACCCCTAATCCTAACCCCTAACCCTAATCCTACCCCTACCCTTAACCACGCAAATTTATCGGTCATTAAAGCATACAGATCGGCAAAACAAAAACAAAAAACAAACAAAAAAACCCAGATATCCCCGCAGTGTCAAAAAAAAAAAAAAGATCTGGGGGACACACCCAAGCATTGGCAGCCCTGATGTCGACCTCACTGTCTTGTTTGATTCGTGACTTTTTCCGCTACTTGTTTCGAGTGCGGCCAAGGGAGAGAACTCCCACTAAATTGAACTAAGTCGTCCAGCCCGCGTCCAACTTTCGTCCGGATTTGCAAGGAGAGCCAAAATGTGATATAATAAGCAAAACAACTGATAAACCTCTACATTTACCTTTAGAAAAGCAATCAAAGGCAAGTTTTTCTTCTTTCATTCTGATGCACATTTCTGCCAGTTCCATCCACTCAGTGGCATGCGAGCCACGTAGATTGGCAGCAACCATGTAAAACTGCAAACAAAATAAAAACCAGGCTGTACTCTAGCATCTTTAGCATAAATACCATTAGATATTTTCAATGTTACCCGTATGCTGGGTTAATGTGCCCTGGTGAGCACAGTTTCGGTGTATGCACACACTTAGTTTGTAGTCATCTTAAGAGACCCAACAATGAGAGTGACCTCCCTTCTCACTGATGCCCCGATCTGGTATAGGGCCTCTACTATGTGGCAGGGGTGCATCTTTGGTTGCACGACTGAATGCAGAGTCTAAAAAAGGCTACATAGAGTCGTGAGACATAGGCTGGGGCTGTGAAGTAGGGGGGTTGGGTGAGGCCCAGTTGTACATGTTTTGGAACCGTTAAAAGTGGTCACAGCAGAGAACGCGATATCGCCGGCTGCTGACAACAAGGAGTAAAATACGACTCACTACACCCGAAATCCCTCCGACATAGTACAGGGGCTACACCAGATCAAGGCATCAATAGGAAGGGAAGTCAATCTCACTGTTGGGTGTCTTATCGTGACATGTACCCACACTTTTTAATCGCACCTACACCTCAAGAGTTATAAATACAATTTCATCTCCCCCCATGTGAGTTCCGGGGCCCTATTTTAGGGAAAACAAGAATAGACCCACTGCCTACCCAAAAGCATGTAAGAGACAACTATTTGGGAGCTTCCTTCAAAGTTGGAGTGCATCTGCCTGAGAGGCCAGGAACTAATAGTCTGCATACAAATGTGTCAGATCTGTCAAATGGATGCACACGTAACACTCAGCTTCTGAAACAGGACTGCAGTCCAGAAGTGGACGAACAATCAGAACTTTTCACCAGAGTTTACAGCTGGTGAATGCAAAAAAAGAATAATTTCATAACTTCATGATGAAAAAAAAAATTTTTGTTTTGATTAAAAACCACAGACTTTTAAGTGTGCACTGCATTTCAAGTCTGGATAAAAAACAGAAGAAATATCACAGAAAGTTTCATGTGTTTTAATTATACTAACTCAAGAGACCAGATTTTGAAAGTGGAACATAAACGTACCTTGAGAGCCTCTTGCAAGTTGCCCTGGTCCTCACTAATATTGCCAAGAGCTTGATAAGGTGCGGCAGCTTTTGGTGCTACAGACAAAAACCACATGACAACATTAAATAACATCAGTGATCCTAATTTTTCTACTGTTTAATACGAACAAAAACAACCAATTATCATCATCAAGAGACATTTCCACTTATATTGAATGCAAAAAGTAAAGTAAAGATCCCTTTTTTGCGCCTTTAAGTGCATCAGGCATACAGGAAGAGCACCCATATTTGTACAGACCAATCAGTACTAGGTGGGTAATGTGGCTAGCATTAAGCCGGCCATCTTTACTTCCCCAGGACATACATCCTGGTAGAAATTGTAGGCTCGGTTGGCCTGCGACGCTCCATATCATGATAAAAATGCACTTAACAATGAATGTAGGCAATAATAATTCTCAAATACCATCTGTCCTTCCATCTTCATGGTACATCCTAGCCTTTTCCAGTTCATCTCTTGGTGTTTTCTACAAATATAAATTCTGCTTTCTCTTGGTTCCTTCTGAGCTAATGTTCACCCCAACACAACCTTTACCAAGAATGGCAGGCATCGTTTCAGAGGTCCCAGGTAGTTTAGCGTTCTTTTGATATTTTCTCCGGGATGCTGGAATGTTTGAAAGCGAACAGGCAGACAGATTGACTGATTCTGCACCAGTGAATGGTGAATTTATGCATGACAGACTAGGTGTGGTCAAGGCCCCTTCGGAGCAATTAAACAATGCAGAGGCACTAACACATCATTGTGGTCTGGAGAGAAGGCTACTGCTATGAGTGACCAGGAGATCTAGTCGACACTCTACACTAAGAGGAAAGGAAAGACAGACATCATCAAACTGCTACTGGCACTGTCGGAACTGGAACTCTTTACTGGCTGCTGAAGATGAAGCACTTATGGGAATGTCCTGAGTGCTGTGATGTCAGTTCTTAGCTTAACACACAAACAAGAAAACTTGAAGAATGACTGGTGTGCTGCCCTGCAAAGACGGTGATTCTTGCTGAATCCCCAACGAAGACTGTTATTTTTTTCTTTAATCATATAATTTTAAATCAAAAATAGACCAATCGGCACTCAGTTAGTGATGTTACCAACAATATGCTAACTGCCTTTACTTATTAGGACATTTCCTCACAATTTTAGTCTTGTTTGATGTGGCAGCAAAGGTTATTTATAAAAATACATGAGTTGAGTTGATTCAAAAACCGACATCACAGCACTCGGGGTATTCCTATATGTGCTCCATCCCCATCTTCACCAGCCAGTGAAGAGTTCCGATACTAATGGTGCCAGTAGCATTCTCATTAAACGTCAGTCTTGCCTTTCCTCAGAGCCTCGAGCATCTGCCAGAACCTCTCGTCACTCCCCGCAGCATCAATCTCACCAGACTGTGGTGATCCATCTGCTCCTCCGAACTGTACACGCTCTCCCACAAGGCACTAAGCACGTCTAGAAAAATATATGTATTGTACGGATATGAACACAAGACCTTTTCGCCGGCATGCAAGCCTTCGGCCACTGCACTACACCAAATGTATGAAGATTTAATTCAGTAATTTCTTCTTCAATCAGTGCCTGTGGTTTAAGCCGGGCAAACACGCTTCCTAATTCCAGGGTGCCGATTTGGCAGAAGAGCCTTGCGTTGATTTCAACCGTTAAGAAAGCAAATGCAAAATACTGGACGTAAAATTGCAAAGTGAAATCACAAACAGTCACACACAAAAAAGCACTGTAACATTCCGTTCGGGATATGCAAGAAACTTTTTTTTTCATCAATCATCATTATGTAGCATGTCCTTTGCAGAATGTCGCTCTCATCATTTTCTGCCTGAAAGAGACTGCCTCTCAACAGCTCTCCTTCATCTACTTTCACATTCAAGGATCACTTACATCCTGCGCCCATCTACATGTTGGTCGGCCCCTGCCCGTGCTTCCTGGTACCACACTTTCTGCTATTATTTTTTTTCAGTCCGCCATGACGCTTGATATGACCAAAATAGTTCAGATTCCAAGGCAAGATGCTATTTATTAGCCAATCTTCCTTGATTTTGTGGGCTTTTAAAATGTCAGTATTTCCTCTCTTCTTCGTCCATGGCATTCTTAGAATCTTTCTACAACATTCAGCTCAAAAGCTGCTATTTTCTTTCTTTAGGACTTGAAGATAGTCCACATAAATCAGTTTCTGTAATAATTCCTTGCTTCCCTTCTTTTTTTGTATATTTTATTTTCGTTCTACCTGTCAATACAACTACGCCAAGCTGCCCTATTCATCTGCCACCTCCATATCCTCATCATATCTTAAAGGATTCTGATATGTAGATTTCGGGGACATAAAATCCCTAACATACAAAGCAGATTCGACTATTATGCACAGTCAAGACAAAGTTCAGGGGACCTTCATGGCGGAGTGCTTTACTCTCGCAGTACCAAAGAGCACACCATACGTTTCTTTGCCATATCATAAACATGCTATCTGCTTGCTGCAACTTTCATAAAAAGATGCTATATTAAAGCTTTGTACATGAATTAATTTCAGCTACTTCTGCCCTATAGATTCTCAATTAAACACAATCAAACCAGAGTATCTATTGTTTCAAAGCTCAAAGGGCAAAAGTAACAAGTGTGTGGGACTGAAAGAGTTAACGCTTTCAATACCAGGGAGTTTTTGCAGCAAATACCTGAGAGAATTAATGACCACTATAAAAAATCATGAATGCACAACTTTCAAGCATGCATACTAAGCAGCAGATGTAGCCAGCAGGGAAGCCATAATTTTTTTTAAACGTACTCTGACCAAAAGTAAAATGTGAGTGAACACATTAGGCGATGGCTGGTTTTCATGTGGAAGAGTCTATTATGCATCACTTGCTGCATGGGACTGAGAGAGTTAAGCAATTTACCTTGCTCTCTGTAGCATGCACTGAATGGGGAAAACAATACAAGAGGACAGCTGCGCTTACCAGGCAACCACATCAAGCATGAGCATGGATGTAGCCGCTGCTTCTAAAACACTTGCACTGGCATCAGAGCAAACAGCCACACAGGCAATAATTGTATCAGACACCATGAACTTGCTTTAGAAGATAGCAACAGCAGACGATATGCGCTCTGAATGGGTAGAAGGCATGCAAAAATCGCACTTAACCTTCCTCACCTGGATCTATACACCTGGTCATGAGGGTGTAAAGTGTAATGGGCCAGCAAATCAACTGGCAAGCAATGCAAAAAAGCATGAAGGAAGAAGCATGGACAGAGTAGATATTGTCAATGCGTTAGGGACTGGGCTAGTGGATAATGACGAATCTCTGACACTAACACAATTGCGTGACATGGGAGTAAAGCATGGTGAAGCATGTCTATGCCGCATTTCAGGCTGAGATAGGAGACATTACAACCAACTTATCATGGGAACAATTAGTAGAAGTCCCCTCGAGTGGCTGCTGCATCAGAGGACTGAGCACACATGGGAATGCCCAATGAGCAGTGACACTGATTGTGATAACATAACAAAATAAGTTTGTTGTTTCAGTTTTTATTGGCAAATACAGATGTTTCTGCAGATCATGTGTAAAACATTTTTTGTGTTCTGTTTTCTTCTTCTTCTCGTTTTCTGTTTACTCTTAAAATGGCTGTTGACATGTTATGGTTTAAGCTAGGCTGTGATATGTGCGTTTTGACCAAACGTACTGAGTATTCTTTTACACCATGCTTGATGAGGAGCAGTTCTCTCCCCCCCCCCCCCCCAGATCCTCGCCAGATCAACAGGAGGGGGGGAGAACTACTGAGCTGAAATCTAATGCATTTATTTTTAATTTTACTTTTGCTTATTTTTTAAGGCTGCTGCATTGGACAAAGCATGAGTGGGTCGGACAGAGCACGAGTGAGTCCGATGGAGCCCGAGTGGGTCATATGGAACATGAGTGGGTTGGATGGAGCTCGAGTGGGTCGGGCCAACGTGCTAGGATGTCAATATGGACAACTAGTAACAAGTAACATACCTTTACTGATGATATCATACAGCAGTAAGACAGCCTCATCAGTCTTGCCTTGTGCCCTCAGTAACACTACTCGGCCGTTAGCAGCAACAAGGTGTTTGGGCAGGTCACATCTCCTGCGTCTTTTTTGCTTCGAGAGTAAACAATATTTGCTACAGAATATTCATTTGTAAAGATTCGGAATGATGTGAGGATTCTGTTTCTATAATATGAGGATTCTGTTTCTATAATATGAGGACTGTGTTTCTATAATATGAGGGTTCTGTTTCTATGATGTGAGGATTCTGTTTATATGATGTGAGGATTCTGTTTATATGATGTGAGGATTCTGTTTCTATAATATGAGGGTTCTGTTTCTATGATGTGAGGATTCTGTTTCTATAATATGAGGGTTCTGTTTCTATGATGTGAGGATTCTGTTTATATGATGTGAGGATTCTGTTTATATGATGTGAGGATTCTGTTTCTATAATATGAGGGTTCTGTTTCTATGATGTGAGGATTCTGTTTCTATAATATGAGGGTTCTGTTTCTATGATGTGAGGATTCTGTTTCTATAATATGAGGGTTCTGTTTCTATAATATGAGGGTTCTGTTTCTATGATGTGAGGATTCTGTTTCTATAATATGAGGATTCTGTTTCTATAATATGAGGGTTCTGTTTCTATAATGTGAGGATTGTTTCTATGATGTGAGGATTGTTTCTATGATGTGAGGATTCTGTTTATATGATGTGAGGATTCTGTTTCTATAATATGAGGGTTCTGTTTCTATGATGTGAGGATTCTGTTTCTATAATATGAGGGTTCTGTTTCTATAATGTGAGGATTGTTTCTATGATGTGAAGATTCTGTTTCTATAATATGAGGATTCTGTTTCTATGATGTGAGGATTCTGTTTCTATGATGTGAGGATTCTGTTTCTATAATATGAGGACTGTTTCTATGATGTGAGGATTGTTTCTATAATGTGAGGATTCTGTTTCTATGATGTGAGGATTCTGTTTCTATAATATGAGGATTCTGTTTCTATAATATGAGGACTGTGTTTCTATGATGTGAGGATTATTTCTATGATGTGAGTATTCTGTTTCTTTGATGTGAGGATAATGTTTGTATGATGTTAGGATTGTGTTTATGATGCAATGATTTATGTGTCTATGATGTCAAGACTGTGTTTATGATATGAGGAGTCTTTTTCTATAATATGAGGACACTGTTTCTATAATGTGAGGATTCTGTTTCTATAATGTGAGGATTCTGTTTGTATAATGTGAGGATTCTGTTTCTATGATGTCAGGATTAATTTTTATGATATAAGGATTCTGTGTTTATGATGTGAAGATAGTGTCTGTATGATGTCAGGTTATGTTTTTATGACATGAGGATTTTATGTCGATGATGTTTCTATGATGTGAGGATTCTGTGTCTATTTTGTGAGGATTTTGATCCTACGACATAAGAAATATGTGCCCAAGATGTGAGGATACTTCTTCTTCTGATGTTAGGATTTTGTGTTTATGATGTTTAGATTCCATTTGACTTGATTTGATATAGAAAAAAAAATAATAAACTTGGACTCTTCAACGTGCCATGAGGGCCTCATTATAACTGGGTCCGTTAATTGATTGTGGTTTTGATTGTCCTTCCTTTTGAGGCGTGTTGGTATGCCTGACCATTCCTGATTGGTGCATGGATGCCACTGGTTATTGTGCTGGTTCTATGGTTTTTGCTGGTTGTCCAGTACGCTGTCAACTCTTGTACCAAAGCTGCCTCCAGGTACACCTCACTGAAGCAGACAAGCTTGCCACTTTTACGCCACCAACAAGGCCCTTTTGGGGGTCCCATATTTAATTTCTTTTGTTGCTTTTATTTTTTTTGCATCATACATGTGTATATGCGTTAGCTGATTGTGCCTGATTTTTGTTTTTTTTAAAGGGCCTTATTCTATTTTTTTGGCTTTTTCTGTTTTGGGGTCAATTTTTTTCTCCAGTTTTTTTCTGGCCACACATGGTATAGAAGTAGAAGTAATGCAACAAAGGAAAAAAAAACTGGAAGGCTTGAAAAGCGTGGGACATAAAGTAAGGTCGAAGGACTGAGGGAGAAGGATAGCTTGCTAGGTAAGGAAAGAAGGATTTCTGGTCCGGGTGACTCTGGCCTTAGACTTCTGGTGTCGAATCTCCCTTCTGTCTCCTCTGGTGTTAGTATACAGCCCCTCCTTTGCTTCTGCTAATGAATTTCTTCACCATTTTTTGTACAGGCGGGCTGCAGGTCACATGGAGACATGCCGAGATTGTCATTGGTTGTTTGGTTATTTCAAAGTAGTTTTTCAGGTCAACTCTGTGATCTTTGAACCTGCCGCAGGTGAGCAGGTAGTGCTCCACTGTTGAGCTCCAAACAATCTGTGCACATCGGGCTGCTGGATTTGTCTTTCCAGTAGTCCAGTCTAAGTCTCCACAGGTGGTTAATTGTCGGGATGTTTGTATGTTCCCTAACTTGTGCCTTGGTGCTGATGTCTTTTAGGAGCCTGAAGGCATGCCTGCCCTTTTTGCTGGTCGACCACCTATGGATCCATTCTTTGTTTATCTTTTGAGCAATAAGGGCCTTACATTCATTCCTGCCTAGTCCGCTGTCGACAGTGTCCAGGCTCAGCAGCCCTGTTTCCATTTGAGGATCCTACTTTTATGTGAGGATTGTTTCTAAAAAGGCGAGTGATCTGTATAGACTAAAATATACAAACTGGTCCTGTGGTCAGTTTATAGACCAAAAGGTACAAACTGGTCCTGTGGTCAGTTTATTGACCAAAAGGTACAAATTGGTCCTGTCATCAGTTTATTGACCAAAAGGTACAAACTGGTCCTGTGGCCAGTTTTTAGACCAAAAGGTACAAACTGGTCCTGTGGTCAGTTTATTGACCAAAAGGTACAAACTGGTCCTGTGATCAGTTTATTGACCAAAAGGTACAAACTGGTCCTGTGATCAGTTTATAGACCAAAAGGTACAAACTGGTCCTGTGGTCAGTTTATTGACCAAAAGGTACAAACTGGTCCTGTGATCAGTTTATAGACCAAAAGGTACAAACTGGTCCTGTGATCAGTTTATAGACCAAAAGGTACAAACTGGTCCTGTGGTCAGTTTATTGACCAAAAGGTACAAACTGGTCCTGTGGTCAGTATACAGACCAAAAGGTTCAAACTGGTCCTGTGGTCAGTTTCTCAGGACATTTCCTATTTTATGTTGGGAATTCATGTCAATTTTTAACTGAATTTAATCAAGGAAGTAATGATACCTGTTCAATGTTAAGGCAACACTTTATGAAATAAGGATAGAAAGAAACCTTGCACAAACAAACCTTATATTTTCGCTTGTTTTTCTTTGCTGGTGGTGTGCTGCTGCCCATTTCAGTGGACAGTTTCTCTGATTTATTTCCTGTTAAATATACAGAATATTAGTGCTAAGTGCTCTAAACATTACAGTGTTTAGTAGTATCATTAATATGTTGTTCGTCTATCATGAGTGATGAAGACCACTTTTCATACAAAGTAGTAATGATCAATGATTATGAGTACGAAGGTGGTTGATTAGTCCAATATGAGCCAAGAAAGTTCTTGAGCAGTGCGGACAAAAGATGGAAGCTGCAGTAGGTGTAGGATTAGCAGTACGATTCTTTCTAGTCTTCCTTTGTTTCTCTGCCTGTACAACCTCCGCTGCCTGGCAGGCCGATGCACCTTGCCTAAGGGACGTACGCCATCAAGAACGGTCTTGCGCAGGAGCCTCCCAATTTGCTGTGTTGATGCCAAAAGAACTCAGAGCTGTCTTGAGAGTGTCCTTAAAGCACTTTTTCTGTCCTCTCTGTGACCTCTTTCTTCCCTTGCTGGAGCTCGTCATAAGATACTCTCTTTGGAAGGCGATACTCTGGCATGCGGGTTAGGTGACCAGCCCAAAGCAGCTGGCAATTCTTCAGCATCGTATGGATGATAGGCAGGTTTGGCCTACCAGGAACCACAGTACTTGGGATCTTATCTTGCCATTTGATTTTGAGCAGCTTTCTGAGAAATTAATATAGTAACCATGGAAATGAGATGGCTGAGAACAGCAGCAGAGAGAGACAAGAAGAGATTTTTTTTTTTTTTTTTACGTATCCAGAAACCATGAGTTGTAAACCCTTTGGCTCGGTACTATGGATATCGCAACCCTTCGGCATTGATTCCATTATAGGTACCGTTAATCTGGGAGAAATGTGGCTTTTCTGCCTACCCCCGGGAGTGAACCCGGACCACAAGGAGTTCGTCACCCGGCCGCCGTGAAAGTCAGGTTTAACCAACTTCGCTAGAGAGCCGGGCACAAGAAGAGATAAAATCAGTGTGATGAAATCATAAGAGAAAAAGTGGCACAGAACCAATACTAAATTACTCATTAAGGCAACAAACAAAATGGTTTGTCCATTTAGAGATGCCACACCATACAAGGCATACACCAAAAGAGAGGGCGGTAAAGAGGTAGACCAAGAATGTGGAAAGATAACATCAGAGAAACTCTACAACAGTACAGTGTGTCTATGGTTGAGATAGCCAGAAGAGCAAGAATGCAGAACTGTATACCTCCCTTGACACCTGAAATGGTAAAAGAGGAAAAGAACAAAAAGCAACACTGTGAAAGCAAGAATGAAAGATACTTTTATCTTCAAGAATGTCATCAGAAAGAACAACTGATATACAGGCAGATATGGTGGGGGCGGAGGAGGGGGGGTGGGGGGCAAAGAAAAATTGAAATATTAAGACAGAAAGAAAGGAGAGAAAGAAAAAAAATAAAGAAAGAAACAGAAAGAAAGAAAGATTAAAAGACAGAGAAAAAAGAAAGAAAGACCAAAAAAATATTTTAAATACATATGTGCCATTCCTTCAGGTGACCGGCTTTGAGCAGCCATGGGTGATCATGACTGTCTAGTCATCCATCATTTATATTTTTATGCAATAGATGCTGCTTAAACTGTTTGTTGCCCAATTATTCTATTTTCTGTATTTTTCTTTCTCTACCTCTCTCCTCATATTTCCTAATATAAAAGATACTTTTTACACTGTGATCGAGGCATACCCTTGGTGGGTGTTGTGTTTAACATCATGTCACCTGCTGTTACTCGGCTGCTGCTACCAATTTCTGGCTGGGTTAACATGGAAGCCAAGATCAATTCTGAAAATAATCTGCTCTGATGCGGTTTCAAATCCATGTTCATGTCGGCAGGCAAGCATCTAGCCACTATATTACCGTGGCTCCCATTTCTCAATTTAAAGCTAATGCCTAATTCCATCTCTTTTACAGGTATGCCTCATTCCATATCTTCTACAGGTATGCCTCATCCCTCCCATCTCTTCTACGGGTGTGGCCCATTCCATCTCTTCTACAGGTATGCCTCATTCCATATCTCCTATAGGTATGCCTCATGAACTGAATGTCATATACTGAGTTGTCTTATATCACCTACAGTCCTTAATACCCTAACTCTTATTATATTCACTGTCTTTGTTCAAATGCACTCTGCATCGAAGGAAGCCTCCAGTTAGTCAACTCCTATGACATGCTTGTTAGGTAGCAGTGGGTCTGCTGTTGTGTTCCCCACAAAGGGAGGGATTCTGGAACCCACATGAAGAGCAGGAGTCACCTGTTACCTATTGTTTTGCTCAGGCCAAGGGGAATGTAGTCCACTGAATGCTTTACTCTGTTCATGTTTATTGCCATACATATATATATTTTTTTTAATATACATCCATGTCACTGCAGGTTTGGAAAATAATTCCTTCATGCTATTTAGAGCCTGTTTTAACATACGGCTGTGAAGCTCGCACAATTAATAAACAAGCCGAACAGTATCTTGTCTGCTCGTCTACTGTCAACTGCAGTCTACTGACAAATCACCGACCCAGCTGCTGAGTTGAGTCAAGCATTGACATCACAGCACTCAGGGCATTCCCATGCATGCTCCGTTGACCCGGCTGCGTAAAGATACCAGCTAAGTGATTTGTGTGTATTTGTGTGGTATTGTTTGATTTATGTATTGCTGATGAAGGTTCCATAGCCGCAACGTTCACGTTTTGTTTGTGTTTTTTATATTGAGAAGCTTGCTGACATACTTTCCATTCTGTTTTATATCTTTTCTTGAACAATATCTCGAGGCCTTGGAGATGTGGTTTTACAGCTAAGAAGAGCAACCCAGATGTTTTGAAAGAGGTGAATGCCCGAAGACAACTTATCATAAACATCAGAAAGAGACAGTCATAATTTTTTGGGGTCATGTTATGAGAAGAGGGAAAATGGAACATGTTGTGACCACTGGAAAGACTGTGGAAAGAGAGACAGAGAAAGACAGCATGAGAAGATGCTTGCCAGTCTTTTGTCATGGCATGGAGGGGTGTCAACACACAAACTGATACACACAGTTGTGGATCACAGAATATGGAGAGGCATGATCACCCACGGCAGTCGGCATGGCACTTGATGATAATGATGATATATTTCTAAAAGAAGTTTAGCAACCTAGATAAATTCATTTTTTAAAATATATTTTTATTATTAAACTGTAATTTTGTTGTTGTTGTTTTGTTACTGTTGTTTTTTACTGATTTTTTCCAGGAATTCCCATGAATTTATAACCCAATTTTAAGCATGCGCAGGGTAAAAGAGTTAAGTAAAACAGCCAATAAAAAATTATGGTGCTTAATTAATATCCTACCCCAGATGACGTCACAGGACAGTCCAACATTTTAAAGGGTGGTAAGACTGGGTTTTCCGGCTTTCTGATGTTTAAAACGATTCCAAAACAACTAGAATTGGCCCTAGCCCTAACCCACCTATGTCCCACAAGAGAGTGCAGCCTAGGTCCCACAACTGCATACAGCCTATCTACCACCCCTTGAAATATCAGACTGTCCCGAGACCTGTGGATTTTCCCTGTTTGGGGTAAGATATTAATATAGCACCAAAATTACTATACCTTTCTCTTTTCCTTTCTTCTTTGTCTTTTCATCTGGAACCCACTCTTCATCCTTAGTATCTGAAACTTCCCCTGCATCCACATCCTCACTATCTGCAATGCCTTCCTCATCATCATCATTTTCCTCCTCCTCTTCATCATCATCATCCTCATCATCCATTTCTTCTTCTTCTTCATCATCCTCTACTTCTTCGCCAGTTCCAAAAAACTTGTCAAATTCAGGAATGTTCTTGATTGAAGGAATGATGGCTGACGAAGAAGGCAATTTACTGCTAGCAGGTGGGTTTGCGGTCTTGGGTTTTGTAGGTGGGTTTGTGGCTTTGGGTTTTGTTTTCTCGAGTTGCAAACAAAAATCTTCAAAGTTGATCTCCCCTGAGGACAAACAAAAGATAGTTACTAAGATCAAATTCCAAATTCCAACATTGAATCAGAATTGTAACTGACCTTTAAAATTAGAAAACTAATTTTAAAAAAGCTACCAATAGATCCAAATCTCACTAACTATATAAAATCAGAATCTTCAAAGTTGCATATCCCTGAAAAAATAATTAGATGTAATCACATCAATAAAACTATTTGCGTTTTCTACATATATGGAATGAAAACACATGGTTCCATCGCCACTGATCTGAGTGCACGGTTTGACACTGAACTGTGGATCTCATGTGAAATACTTTTTAACTGTGTCCAATATATTCTGTTTTGTGAAAAAGATATTCAGAAAACAGCAGGTTGCCTGTTGTCACAGCATTGGAGGTTGTTTTAACCTTTTGCTTACCATAGACTAAATGTTTCTCAAGGCGTGGAAATGTCTACTTTAACTTTTCACTTTCCATATATTCAATGTATCTCAAGATGTGGAAATATCTACTTTAACTTTTCACTTTCTATATATTCAATGTATATCAAGATGTGGTAATATCTACTTTAACTTTTCACTTTCCATATATTCAATGTATCTCAAGATGTGGTAATATGTACTTTAACTTTTCACTTTCCATATATTCAATTTATCTCAAGGTGTGGAAATATCTATTTTAACTTTTCACTTTCCATATATTCAATGTATCTCAAGATGTGGTAATATCTATTTTAACTTTTCACTTTCTATATATTCAATTTATCTCAAGGTGTGGAAAAATCTACTTTAACTTTTCACTTTCCATATATTCAATGTATCTCAAGATGTGGTAATATCTACTTTAACTTTTCACTTTCTATATATTCAATTTATCTCAAGGCATGGAAATATCTACTTTAACTTTTCACTTTCTATATATTCAATTTATCTCAAGGTGTGGTAATATCTACTTTAACTTTTCACTTTCTATATATTCAATTTATCTCAAGGTGTGGTAATATCTACTTTAACTTTTCACTTTCTATATATTCAATTTATCTCAAGGCATGGAAATATCTACTTTAACTTTTCACTTTCTATATATTCAATTTATCTCAAGATGTGGAAATATCTACTTTAACTTTTCACTTTCTATATATTCAATTTATCTCAAGGCGTGGAAATATCTACTTTAACTTTTCACTTTCTATATATTCAATTTATCTCAAGATGTGGAAATATCTACTTTAACTTTTCACTTTCTATATATTCAATGTATCTCAAGATGTGGTAATATCTACTTTAACTTTTCACTTTCTATATATTCAATTTATCTCAAGGCGTGGAAATGTCTACTTTAACTTTTCACTTTCTATATATTCAATGTATATCAAGATGTGGTAATATCTACTTTTCACTTTCTATATATTCAATGTATATCAAGATGTGGTAATATCTACTTTAACTTTTCACTTTCTATATATTCAATGTATATCAAGATGTGGTAATATCTACTTTAACTTTTCACTTTCTATATATTCAATGTATCTCAAGATGTGGTAATATCTACTTTAACTTTTCACTTTCTATATATTAAATGTATCTCAAGATGTGGTAATATCTACTTTAACTTTTCACTTTCTATATATTCAATGTATATCAAGGTGTGGAAATGTCTACTTTAACTTTTCCCTTCTATATATTCAATGTATCTCAAGATGTGGTAATATCTACTTTAACTTTTCACTTTCTATATATTCAATGTATCTCAAGATGTGGTAATATCTACTTTAACTTTTCACTTTCTATATATTCAATGTATATCAAGGTGTGGAAATGTCTACTTTAACTTTTCACTTTCCATATATTCAATGTATCTCAAGATGTGGAAATATCTACTTTAACTTTTCACTTTCTATATATTCAATGTATATCAAGATGTGGTAATATCTACTTTAACTTTTCACTTTCTATATATTCAATGTATCTCAAGATGTGGAAATATCTACTTTAACTTTTCACTTTCTATATATTCAAATTATCTCAAGATGTGGTAATATCTACTTTAACTTTTCACTTTCTATATATTCAATTTATCTCAAGGCGTGGAAATATCTACTTTAACTTTTCACTTTCCATATATTCAATGTATCTCAAGATGTGGTAATATCTACTTTAACTTTTCACTTTCCATATATTCAATTTATCTCAAGGTGTGGGCATATGGGGCAAGACCTATATTTTACAGATATATCATACCATGGGTAATGTGGTCAGATAGTCAGAGAAGCCACAGATTCCAAAAGTTTTACAAACAGACCCAGACATACCTGTCAGGTATTTGACTGTGAGCTCTGTGCCTGCTTGCTGGAGCATCCCCTTCAGTTCACTGGTTGTTGATGGTCTCACAGCGTCTGGGACAAGGGCGACCTGGAAAAAAGTGCCATCAATCAGAACTATGTCCCTGGCAGTTGATGGTGATTAATGATTAGTGATTATTGATTAGTGATTAATGATTAGTAAGACTATTATCACAGCACTCTGGGCAGATAAACAGGTTCTCCTTTTGCCTCCTCAACAGCTCAGCAAAAGTAACAACTGATCACGCCCGTTCTGTGTTGATTAATCAGATGTCTTATATCCTTACTGAAATGTTCGTGTCTGTTGCTCCAGGCTGCACCCCTGTGCCCACCAACCTGGACAAGGATTTTGAGTCCTGGTTGCTGTTGTGATCTTTTTCGCAATATGCATCTCAGTGCTGGACCAGTTGTGATAACCACATTGTCCACCAGCTAATCTGTATGCTCGCTGCCTTGAAAACCCGTATGGCCTGGCACAAAGAAAATGGTTAGATAAGTTTTCGTGATGCATTTAATGAGAAAGTCATCCTGGATTTTCTTCAGCATATTCATTGAACCGTTCAGTGTGTGTGTATGTGTAAATTCTTGAGTACCCAGCCATGTCCATCTCCTTGTTGCAGCCATGGTCTCCATTGTGAGGCTACTGGTTGTAACAGTAAAGGCACCACACATCTCCTTAATGGTTTCCTCTTTGAGCTTGAAGTTAATGCCCACACACTTCATCTGCCTTGGGCAACCGATCCATCTATGTAAATGACAGCATCATTGACATCTGTGTTCTCATAAATCAGTACTTTGACTAAAGTTTACATTGTGCCAGCGATCTGTTCTCAATCAGCACTCTGACTAAAGTGTACATTGTGACAGGGATCTGTTCTCATCAATCAGCACTCTGACTAAAGTGTACATTGTGCCAGGGATCTGTTCTCATCAATCATCACTCTGACTAAAGTGTACATTGTGCCAGGGATCTGTTCTCATCAATCAGCACTCCTAGACTAAAGTGTCCACTATGCCAGGGATCTGTTCTCATCAATCAGCACTCTGACTAAAGTGTACATTGTGCCAGGGATCTGTTCTCATCAATCAGCACTCCTAGACTAAAGTGTCCACTATGCCAGAGATCTGTTCTCATCAATCAGCACTCTGACTAAAGTGTACATTGTGACAGGGATCTGTTCTCATCAATCAGCACTCTGACTAAAGTGTACATTGTGCCAGGGATCTGTTCTCATCAACCAGCACTCTGACTAAAGTGTACATTGTGTCAGGGATCTGTTCTCATCAATCAGCACTCTGACTAAAGTGTACATTGTGTCAGGGATCTGTTCCCATCAATCAGCACTCTGACTAAAGTGTCCACTATGCCAGGAATCTGTTCTCATCAATCAGCACTTTGACTAAAGTGAACATTGTGGCAGGGATCTGTTCTCAGCAGCTTCTGTCAAGGCTGATATGGACCGTGATGCTGATGTCTGAAGCAGTAGACATATGCACCCATTTGTTTTCTACAGGAATATCTAGAAAGAAACAACTCAGCTGGATGGCAGGCTTATGCATTTTTACTTCGCTGGAACTGACACATGATTCTTTAGTTTTTCAAATGGGACAGTAAAGGAGATTTTGTGTGGTCTCCACTGGCACAGAAATGGAGCAGTTATGGGGTGACATGTCTGTATCGAAGATGAAACCTTGAGTAACAATGAGGCTGATGTAGTCTTGTCAAGTTGATGTTGAAACCTTGAGAAACAGAATGAGGTTGATGTAGTCTTGCCAAGTTGATGTTGAAACCTTCAGTAACAGAATGAGGTTGATGTAGTCTTGACAAGTTGATGTTGAAACCTTCAGTAACAGAATGAGGTTGATGTAGTCTTGCCAAGTTGATGTTGAAACCTTGAGTAACAGAATGAGGTTGATGTAGTCTTGACAAGTTGATGTTGAAACCTTGAGTAACAGAATGAGGTTGACGTAGTCTTGACAAGTTGATGTTGAAACCTTGAGAAACATAATGAGGTTGATGTAGTCTTGCCAAGTTGATGTTGAAACCTTGAGTAACAGAATGAGGTTGACGTAGTCTTGACAAGTTGATGTTGAAACCTTGAGTAACAGAATGAGGTTGATGTAGTCTTGACAAGTTGATGTTGAAACCTTGAGTAACAGAATGAGGTTGATGTAGTCTTGCCAAGTTGATGTTGAAACCTTGAGTAACAGAATGAGGTTGATGTAGTCTTGCCAAGTTGATGTTGAAACCTTGAGTAACAGAATGAGGTTGACGTAGTCTTGCCAAGTTGATGTTGAAACCTTGAGTAACAGAATGAGGTTGACGTAGTCTTGCCAAGTTGATGTTGAAACCTTCAGTAACAGAATGAGGTTGACGTAGTCTTGCCAAGTTGATGTTGAAACCTTCAGTAACAGAATGAGGTTGATATAGTCTTGTCAAGTTGATGTTGAAACCTTGAGTAACAGAATGAGGTTGATGTAGTCGTGACAAGTTGATGTTGAAACCTTGAGTAACAGAATGAGGTTGATGTAGTCTTGCCAAGTTGATGTTCTCAAATTTAAGGGATCTGTGATATCATTGTTTTTAAAATCCTCAACTTAAGAATGCAATTCTCTTTGCAATTCTTACATTCATAAATCATAATAAGCTTTTCTTTTTAGCACTCACCAGCTGTAAACTCCGACAGAAAGTTGTGGTTCTTTGTCCACCACTAGACTTTAGTCTTGATCCAGAACCTGTGTTTTGCAAACACATCCATTTTACAGATGTGGCTTATCTGAATGCAGACTGCTGGTTCCTTGCCTCTCAGACAGATGAGCTTTGACTTTGAAGCTAACACCCCTTATTAGCTGTTTACCAACACGCATGTAGTCAGTGCACAGTGAGAACAACAGACTGGTTTCCCATCTCATCAGGTGTCAAACAGGGATGTGTCCTCTCACCAGTGCTTTTCATTACTTACATGGATAGATTGGTTTGAACAATGGACCAACATCACAGCACAAAAACAGTAGCCCATAAGAGCTCTATTCTACTTCTAACTCAAGCCTGAGTCCAAAGAATCTCAGCGCAGGGCACAAACTCCATAGCACCCGCGGGGATCCTGAACTACTTTTAGTAGATTTTTAAATCCAAATTTTTGCCCGGGCAGCACCGTTAGGCTACTCTTTTTTTATTTCCAACTGGCAAGGGATTTTTTACATGTGCAACAATACACACGGGTGTCCGGTCTTTCTACCCAAGGACCAGGCGAAGCGACCAGAAGTCCAGGTTTAAAAACTTCCAGCCTTCACCGGGGCCTGAACTCGGGACCTCCCACACTCAAGGCAGACGGCATGCCTGAAGACTACTCAGCCTCCGAGATATGGATAGAATAACCCATATAATAACAGAATTTACAACACCATACTGACTCCTTACATCAAGCCTGCACAAAGTATGAGTCATACTATGATATGAGAATAAACACTGCGAAAAATGGGGTAATGAGGATGAACATAATATTATGAACGTTCACGTTACTATAATCAAACAAGCACGAGAATTTAAACATCTAGAATGCATATTTACCAAGGATGGCAAATTCGACAGAGGAATGATGGCAGACTCGACAAAGAGATAGAATTAGAAGCCGGAGTGCAGAAGACAAATGCTCCAGTATCACCTACAGTTAGCGCCACTGTTTAGACAACCCAATAAATGTTTTCCTTCCAGCAAAAAAGTAAATGATTAATTATTAATAGCATCTTTATCACTACTTTATGTTATTGGTGCCAAACACAGACAATGAAAAGGGCACTAGAACAGGAAATAACTGCATGTGAAATGTGCTGTTCCCGCAAGTCACTGACAACACTTGTTGACAAGTCGTCATAATTTTCTGTGTTACTCATCAGTTGAGTTACTAGTAGTGATTAAAATTGATGCTGTGCAACTGCTGATCTGTTAGTGACTTCTGCTACCATCCATGATGAACTGCATTACAATATCGGACTGTTTGTGTTAGCACTTCAGATGGCTAAAGTGTATGCTTTGTGCATATGCTGAGACAGCAGTCTGTCAATCTTTCCACAGAACAAGGGACTGTGATAAACTTTCTGTGTGTTTTTTGTTGGCACAGGAGGGGTGACCGGTTTGCTGTGAAGCTGCCAGTGAAACTAACATTACCAGATTACTAGTTGTTAGTAGGAGTTAAAAAAAAAGTTACTGTACTGAACTGTATGTCATAATGTCATGTACATAGTACATGTACTGACCTTTTTTGGTTTTGACAGTGGTATCGAGGGACCGTTCAGAGAGCAGTGGCAAACTACTGAATGTAAATTTGCATGGTGAAATCAGAAAAGCCATCATATAATATGCATTGGTTTAAAATTTAGGGGGTATTCTTTTTGCATGTACTCTAGACTAGAGTCTAGTGACTCTACTTACTTTACTTAGTCATTAGTCAAAGTCATTTTTACTTTACCTCTTCGGGCTCGACATCTAAAACGACTGTGTCCTCGTGTAATCCTAAAAACGATGGATCGTCGTCATAAATGTCAGCATCCATAACCGAACCTGTGGCTTCACTTTCCATTCTAAAATAATTACTGAAATAATACTGTCCTCCGTTAGATTAACAAAACTAAAAACACCATTCCTTTTTTCGATTTCCTCTACCGGAAACAATAAGGGGAACAATAAAAACTAGGAACGGCATTCGGTATTCTTCGATATCATCATCATCATCAATTTCCGATGTTGTGGGGAGGAACAGTTTGCGATCCACTGCTTGGTGGGTAGCAATGGCTGTTGTCATTCCGTATCGATGTAGAAGCTCTTTAATGTCATCAGTCCACATTCTCTAGGGCTGCCTCTTCTTTTAACCTCAAATCTTTTAATGTGTATCAGCTGAGTTGGTAGTTGTTCTGGCTGCATTCTACTTAATTGACCAAACCATTTGATCTTCTGTTTCTTAATTAATGTGACGCATAGTGTTCTGCCTACAGTATTTTTGATAATATCATTTCTACCTTTGTCTCGGATAGTTGAGTTGACGGCTTTTCTCAGGCACATCATTTCACAGATGTTAATTTTACGTAGGTTACCCTTTGATAATGTCCAAGTCTGGCACTGGCAGCACAGTGTTGGTATGAATATGCTGCTTATAATGTTTTTTTCTTGGCGCTTGTACTTATGTTTGGACGTCTTAATAACTGTATCAGTTGGTATATAAGTGCACTGGCTTGTTGGCACCTTGTTTTTATTTCCCAAACCATTCCCCCGTCCTCAGAGAAAATGCTTCCTGGATATTTGAATTATTGAGCTTGCTTCTTGTAAAGATATCCGCCGCACTGTTTCAGGGAAGGATGATGCTTCGATGTGGTAGTTAGTCTTTTGAGCCGATAAAATTAAGCCCATGTTTGTTACAGGGATATCATTTATCTACAGTCCTCATCTATCATATATGAAGGTGACATCCTAGAGTACCTTTAGGGCAGGAACAGAGCTATCATCGTTTCGGAACCTCAGCAGGAATTGGGTCGCTTATGGTCCTGGTGCAGCGTTGTAGGGGCATCAGTTAACGCATCCAAAGCGACAGTTACTGCTTCTCACCATTCTTCTTCTTCTTCTTCTTCTTCTTCTTCTTCTTCTTCTTCTTCTTCTTCTTCTTCTTCTTCTTCTTCTTCTTCTTCTCCTTCTTCTACTACTATTACTACTTCTTCTTCTACTTCTTCTCTTCAAGGTCTTCCGCTCGCTCTACCTGGTAGATGGTACCAGGGCATTCTTGTTAGGTGTCCAAACCACTTAATGTGTTGTTCGTTCCTGACCTGTAAGACTGGCTTTATTTCTAGCATTCGTCTGATTTTGTATTCTGTCTTTCCTTGAAACTCCTGCAGCTCTTCTAAGGAATTTAATCTCTGTTGTCCCAATTTTAAGTTCATTAGAGGATCAGGAGCTTAGCAACTATGGGGTGACCCGTTTGCTATGAAGCTGAAACTAGGATTACCAGATTACCAGGTGTCCACGTTTGGCATTCATTAATCACCATTTCAAAACACCAGTGACGATGGTAAAACTCTTTGACGCTGGCGTAGAGAGATCTGGTGTAATTAAATACGTAGCTGAGACAGAGCGCTTATTGGAATGCCCTGAGTGCTGTGATGTCAGTTATTGAATCAACTAAAATGTCTTTGGTTTATCGACGATAGCCACTAGAAGGGCCTGTTCCAGAGATCTCTTCCTGCCCTGACACTGAGAGGCATTCCAGGAGTAGAGGAAGAAGAGAAAGATTACAACATGGTGATGATATAGATACAGAGGAGACTGGGGGCTGACATGCATACAGATAAATGACAAACAACAATGAGTGGGAGTCGCCGTTGTGTAGCAGCTAGACGCTCGCCTGCAGATCGGAAGGTCGTGGGTTCGGGTCCTGATTTAGCTGGTCTTTTATTAAAAAACGAGCTTAGATCCCAGGTCGACCCAGCCTTAAGTGGGTACCAGGTATAATCCTGGAAAGTAAAGGCAGTCGGCATGATGTTGACCAGCTGGTCTATAAAATACACGTCTAGCCCTATATGCCAAATATACCTGAAGGTGTGCAAAAGGGTCTTTTATTTAATGAGTGTCAAAATCTCACATTATGAGAGACTAAGCTGAGCTGAAGTTGATTGATTTGATTTGATTTAAGAACCGACATCACAGCACTCGGGGCATTCCCATAAGCGCTCCGCCCCCATCTTCAGCAGCCAGCGAAGAGTTCCGAAAATAATGGTGCCAGTAGCATTCTGATTAAACGTCCGTCTTGCCTTTCCTCTGTGCCTCGAGCATCTGCTAGAACCTCTCGTCACTCCCCGCCGCATCAATCTCACCAGACTGTGGTGATCCATCTGCTCCTCCAAATTGTACACGCTCTCCCACAAGGCATTAACCACGTCTGCCTTATCATGTATCAGTATTCCACCAAGTTGTGCAGAGCCAGCCAGTCTATTCGCCTATTCATTCCCCAACGCACCGGCGTCCCCCGGTGAAAAAATCCAGACAATACTCCTCACCCGTGTCCTCCGCAGCGAAGCATGCCATTCTGAACGAAGCATACCTGTTCTGATCTTCCTCAGCATGCTTTCTAAATCAGTTACAATCACGATGTGTGTGTGTCGTGTTCTCTATCCAGCGGAAAGCTGCAGTGACCGCCTCCCCCTCCATTCTTAAGCTGGATGTTGTGGTATCATGTGCTAGGCTCTCCTGCACCAAACGTCGACCATTAACTTTTGCTAAGAAGCCCCAAGCACTTCTTTTGCCTCTTGACACTGAACCGACTGTGTAAATGATCAAATACTCTGAGCGAGCATTATCTTGAATTAATTGCTGAATTTCCACCTCTGTGGCACCTGCTGGCCAGTCTCTGCATTCCCGGCTCAGCGTGATTATGACTTTACACAAGTCTGACTGTTCAGGTGGCACTTTAACCCACTCTTCTCCTCGCCTAATGTTCTCAAGGATGCAAACCTGTCTGATTGTATCTTCTGCCTGAGCCATAAATGATCTTCCTCTTATCAGCCACTGACCCTTAACTGCACCCAGAGCTTCATGCAGAGGGTGGTCTGTGTCTGCAGCTACCCTGAGATATGACTTCGCCTGCAGCACCTTGTGCCTACCTGCAACCGTCGGCAAACCAAGGATGTATCGCATACACACCACTGGGGTGTCTCTGGTGCAACCCAGAATGACCTGATAGCCGCGTTCTGTGTGCGTCCTAGTTTGTCCATCTGACTCTTTGAGACGGTAAGCAGTCACACATAATCAACCACTGCCAGGATCAGGTGCTGATATAGTGTGAAAAGCATTCTCTGCTCTATGTCAATTGCAGCCATAGTCTTAAGTGAACTAAGTCCTTTTTGGCATCTTGTCACAACACTCTCCACGTAGTCCTTAAATGACAGGCTCCTGTCAAATGTAATTTCCAGATACTTCAGTTTGCTCTGTATGTTGACGTCTCTACAATCTAGCGAGAGACTTGGGGCATTAGCTTTAACGAATCTGTTGTCCAGAGAACACCACAAAACAGACGTCTTCTCCGGGTGGACGACAGCCCTCATTTCTGTACACCACTCAGTCACTTCGTCTACTGTCGCCTGTAGCTCCAGGGTTTTTTGTTCCCTCTGTTCCCCCCTGCCTATATGCAAGTATATCATCCGCAAAAGTCAGTATCCTTCCAACTCCTGGTGCTTCTAGGCTTGCAATCTTGCTCGTTAAAGAGCACAGGCGAGATGGCGGATCCCTGTGGCAGTCCTGGGGCCAAAGTGCATGGTTCAGAGGTCAATGAGCCCAGTCAGAGAGCAAACCATCGTGAATACAGGACAGCTGCAACCCAGTTCACCAGACATGGATTGACCTCCTTCTCCCTCAGTTTCGTATCTCACTCTGTTATAAGCATCCTCGAGATCCAGTCCTACCGTCATAGTTTCCTGTCTGTTCTGGAACACTTCATAGATGTCAAAAGCAAAAGTGGCCGCATTTTCCCAAGTGTCCTTTCTTGGTCTGTAGCTTCCCAGACCTCAGTAGCTGAGCTAATGTGAGAATCAACATAGTACTCAGGGCATTCCCATAAGCGCTGTTCCCCCATCTTCAGCAGTCAGCGCATAGTTCCAATTTCAGTGGTACCTGTTCCAGTCTGATTATATGTCTGTGTGTGCTTTCCTCTGAATACTGAGTTTTGGCCAGATCCCCTACTCACTTCCTGCTGCACATTTCTCTTCAGACCATGATGATAAATTTTTACCTCTGAACCATTCACCTGCTTCCAAAACATCGCCCTGACATCTAGCCTGTTATGCACTAAATTACCACCAAGTGGTGCAGAACCAGCTGGTCTGTCTGCCTCTTCATTTCACAATACACCTCCATACCCTGGAGAAAATATAATGAACTAGATGGGTCTTCTAAAGCGGCGCTTACTGCAGCTTTGTATTTGGTATATTATCACTTTTGATCAGAAATCAGATCTGTAAAATGGATGTGTATGCAACACTTACTGCAGCCTTGTATTTTGTATACTATCTCTTCTGATCAGAAATCAGATCTGTAAAATGGATGTGCATACAACACTTACTGCAGCCTTGTATTTTGTAAACTATCGCTTCTGATCAGAAATCAGATCTTTTAAATTGGATGTGAATGCAACACCCAAGTTCTGGAATGAGACTGAGGTCCCAACATGGACGAATTACCACAGCTTGCCGCCAAGTTTACAGCTGGTGAACGCAAAGAAGAACACATCTGACAAACATTTTCATTCAAGACATGATGACATTTATAATACTTGTATTTCACACTTTTTCATACATGAACAAAAGTCTTGGGTAATATCATATTAATAAGTGTTACATCACTGAATATTGTAGAAATGAAACTCAATAAGCATAAAAACTCAATATATGTATATAGTACATAACGTTACATCACATATAATACGTCCCTCTCTTAATAAATCTATTAAACATAACAATCATTAAGTATTTTCCTACATGTGCACATACATATAAATGGATTCCAGTTAATTGAGGC